TGCCGGGTAATCCGATTTCTTTGTTCAATAGAGCCAGAATTGTCGCTTTGCACCAAGAAAATTTTTCCAATCACGCAATATCGGAGCGACTTGGGGTTCCAAGGAGCTCAGGATCCTAAATTTGTACCAGGAAACTGGAAGCGTGGAACGCAGGCATGAAACTAGTCGCCCTAGGGTAACAGATCAAAGAGAGGATCGATACCTGGCAAATGTTGTCCGTCAGTCCGTCGAAACCATATATAAAACCATATATAAAGTTTTCATAACAGCTCTACGTGGCCATTTTACGAGGACATATCACAGAGTAATATCCTCAATGACAGGAAGAAGGAGATTACATGCCGCAAATTTAAGATCAAGAAGACCTTTACGTGTATCTAGGCTACTTCCAAGACATATTGCTGCACGTCTAGATTGGACACGAGACCACAGGGGATGGCTTTTTTTTCTAGCTAGATCATTTGCTTTTTCATTGCCTTCTATCCCTTGATCAACGGGCACCTAGAGTAGGAGGACTTTATTTTCTTTGCCTAATTTGTTCAGCTCCTCTATGCATTCTTTGACCACCTTCGAATTGATGGTTACTGAGTTGATTGCGTTTAGTGCTGCTTGACTATCGGATAATAGCTCGAGTGTCATGGCCTTGAATTCTTACTCCCAGCGCGCGTAATAGACCAGTCGACAAGTGGTTTTAGGTGGAAATAATTAGGGGCAAGCTGCAATATCACTTATTCTCTTTGTTTTACTTTGTTGAATACTCTACTAAATTTGCACGGTCTATCGATCCCGGATTTGGCCGCCATATTGAAAAATACTGTCAAATTATGACATTTTTATGTTTTTTTAAAATAACTCGGTCTGCGTGCACTGTACAGAAAATTTGAAAGAGACCAAAAAGAAAGCTATTCAAATTCTCTACAAAAAAGGTCCTATTCACCGATTTCGTGCATGAACAGGTTACGAGATACAAGCGCTTAAATATAAAGCATATATTTTCTAGTGGTTCATTTAATATGGGAAACTGATTCTATGTAAATTTGAATAATTTGCCAGTACAAATTTATGTTTTTCTTGTGCTCGTTTCCACACTACCTGGCGGTAGAGCTGTTTTTAAGCACTCGGTGCACTGTTTTTAAGTGGTTTCTCCTATAGGCCAAATCCTAATCTTTGTGTCTCACTTCGGAATAGTATAATGAAAACACTAAAACTAAAAGTCGCCCGAACTGGTTTGCATAATTGACCGCACTCCGGCTGCCGTCTCGCGCTGTTGTCGAATAGATCAAGTATCAAATTTAACGCTAGCGCACATTAAGATGTATTTAAAAAAAATTGGCGCCGGGAGGCACGTATAGCCGCCCATATTAAAATATGTTAATAAAAATTTGGTAGGCAGTTCTTTTAGTTTCAAAGTAAAGGAATTTTTCCAATTTTGGTCCGCGGTTATTTCCCCGATCCGCTACTATGGGAGTTTGGAGTTCTCCATACGGATTTTCTCAAAAACGGACTACGGAAACACGGAATATCTCAAAAACTGCGACTTTGACTGATTTTGATGTTATTACAAATTTTGTTGCAAATATTCCTAATCTTAAATTGAAAACCGCGTCTTGCTAGCTACTGTAATTTTGGAGTTACGATTTTTTAAAATGTTTAAACTCCTCCCTTATCCCCTTACCAACCCCCACCCCCACCAAAAACTAATAGCCAGATTCTCGGGTGCCACAGTATTTTTGTGCCAAATTTGGTTAAAATCTTTCAATAAAAAATTTGGTTTAGAGGTTTTTGAGTTATCGTGTTACAGACGGACAGACAGACAGACAGACAGACACCATGAAAATATTTTGTATTTAGGTCATTTATGACCCAAATAACTCATTTTGAGTGAAATTAAAAAAACTTTTTTTTGTCGATTTTAATAGCCTACCATACCTGTTGGTATGGTCGGCCTTTAATAAGCCTTAGATGTTAATTGCTATAACTTTAGAACGGATAAGTTTACGAGAATAATTAATAGAACCTTTTTTGTAGAGAATTTAATTTGCTTTATTTCTGGTTACCTGCATTTTTTTTTCTACAATGCACCCAGACCGAGATATTTAAAAAAAATCCATAAAAATGTAGTTTTTATATGGACTTTTTCAAAATGGCGGCCAAATCCGGGATCGACAGACCGTGCAAATTGAATATATCATTCAGCACATCAAAACAAAGAAAATAAAAAATAATTCAGCTTGCCCCTAATTATTTCCACCAAACCACCTTAAAACGACGTACCGACTGGCCTATAAAGAAGTTTCACAAAAATTAAATATTTTTTACCTCACTCTTTATTCAGTTTATATTTTATTCAGATATGATAATGGTTTTCTCTTTTTCTTTAAAGAAATACCAAATCGATACCAACCAAACACCGAAGCTACTGTATAATTAACTCATTTTATCTCAATTCCTACAGACTACCGAGGATACGCCGGCCGCTGCGCAACGTATTAAGTTTTTCCCATCGATATTTCTTTTTGATATTCCATTTTCCCGAGGATTTATCCAAGTTTTCTTCGATAAAAACGGACAAAGTCGGCAAGATCCGGCCTTTTTCTTTAGGGCAAGCTCGAGCACTTTGAGAAAGTGTGACACAGGGATAGGTTTGATTAATGGACGAGAGTGGGTACAAAAAGCAGCAAATTGTTACTAAGACAGTCTATGTTATTAGCCCAATCTTCTCGAGAATATTCTTAAATCTATATTGGGCTTAGGCGGATGCCTGCTATAATTTATTACATGGATAAAGAGTGCTAATTCGTTTTGTACGTTTTATATACTTAGTACGTACTGAATTTTAAGAAAATAGTAATTAATCTATACATATAATAAAGAATAGAGGTTGAAAAGTCTGTAACAAATACACAAAGTCATGGAACAAATTTTAAAAAACTACCTAATAAGTAGTTGAATGTTGATAATTTAAGATACATATCAATGATTATAAAAATGTCTTTGTTTGATTTTGTGTGCATTACTGAAAAACCAATGACTGAACTTTGATGCACTTTTTACTGTTTAAAGCATAATGAGGGACAGGATATAGGCCCTGTGTAGCCTATAATAATATATATATTTCGATAATTTCAGAGATATTAATAAATAAATAAAAATATATATTTTTTAACCTTCTTTAAAAAAATTGGAAAACAAATTTCTTGCAGTTAAAAGTCTATAATAAAATTATATAAGGATTCTTACCACTTAACTGCTGATATATAAATTTAATTCCACGCCGTGTTTGTCATAATATGGATCAACCTGCTCTCACTACCGGTTTCGGAGCCCTACTCCATCATCAGGTGAGCTTGGGCAGATACCACAAAATGACAATCACAGCGCAGAGTAGTTACCGATACTTTCCGACATTTCCGTCGGAATTAACTACTCTGCGCTGTGGTTGGCATTTTGTGGTATCTGCCCAAGCTCACCTGATAATGGAGTAGGGCTACCGATAAAAAAATTAAAAGTTACCGATACTTTCCGACAAGTCGGAATTAACTACTCTGCGCTGTGGTTGTCATTTTGTGGTATGGTATGTGGTATGGTATGTGGTATGGTATGTGGTATGGTATGTGGTATGGTATGTGGTATGGTATGTGGTATGGTATGTGGTATGGTATGTGGTATGGTATGTGGTATGGTATGTGGTATGGTATGTGGTATGGTATGTGTGGTATGGTATGTGGTATGGTATGTGGTATGGTGGTATGGTATGTGGTATGGTATGTGGTATGGTATGTGGTATGGTATGTGGTATGGTATGTGGTATGGTATGTGGTATGGTATGTGGTATGGTATGTGGTATGGTATGTGGTATGGTATGTGGTATGGTATGTGGTATGGTATGTGGTATGGTATGTGGTATGGTTGTGGTATGGTATGTGGTATGGTATGTGGTATGGTATGTGGTATGGTATGTCGTATGGTATGTCGTATGGTATGTCGTATGGTATGTCGTATGGTATGTGGTATGGTATGTGGTATGGTATGCGGTATGGTGTTTTTATGGTATTTTGTGACTTAATAGTCCCGAACGGGAGATAGCGGCCTGCGTGCAATGGTAGTACTTTCATACCACCGAGGCGCAACTATCGATAGTAAAAAAGATGGCAAAAAGTTTTTTTTCAAGCAAGCCAAATTATAAAAATGGAAAACAAATTTCTTGCAGTATAGGTCTATCATAAAATTATATAAGGATTCTTGCCACTTAACTGCTGATATAGAAATTTAATTCCACGCTGTGTTTGTCATAATGTGGATCAACCTGCTCTCACTACCGGTTTCGAAGCCCTACTCCATCATCAGGTGAGCTTGGGCAGATACCACAAAATGACAATCATAGCGCAGAGTAGTAAATTCCGACTTGTCGGAAAGTATCGGTTAGATTATTAAGTCCCGAACGAGAGATAGCGGCCTGCGAGCAATGGTAGTACTTTCGCAGGCCGCTATTCCGGTACTAACAAAACAAAAAAAAGTGTCAAGTGTGGCATATCCGAGTTCTTTCAAAACCTAAAATAAAAAATGCAGGTCCGTATTTAAAAAAATTAAATTGGCCTCTGTATCTCACAAATTATCAGCTATTTTGAAAATCTAAAAATACCATCAGATAGCCCTAAAGTGGCTATGAGAATGTGGAATTAGTTTTTTGATTTTCTAAAAAGTAACAGGAAAAAATAAAATTGATTTTCAAAAAAATCCGTTTTATAGAGATAGTAATGCTCGTACCCCGAATTTGTAGCACCCTGTATATATTTTTTATTTATTTATTAATATCTCTGAAACTATTGAAATATATTTACTCATATCTTAGGATTATGTAAAGTGATCTCAATGGAAGCCAAAATTTATATAGGAATCATTATTATTTTCTTCATCGAATTTACTTAAAACTTAGTACTGTTGGATACAATTAATAAGGCATGTCTTTTGAAGTGCATATCTAAATTTTCGTTTTCTATTTCAGGTGCCGAAGATGATGTTCATCGTTTTACTGGCAATGACACCCATGTCGACTACTTCCGTTTAGTACTTCGAGATGCCGATTCACTTCTTGTTGGAGGAAGGTTAGTATTTTTCAAAATATTTATGTAATTTAACTATACTGGTATAATCCGAATACATGTATATATACCATCGTATTTATACCATATATCGGTCGAAAAAACTGGGTCAGAATTGGCTTGGAATTGAAAATCGCTGTCATTTTATATGTAAAAGTATATGGCGAATATCACCGATGATCATTTCCGAAAATTAACTCTAAACTGTGCTCTCGGTCTACAGTTAATTTTTCCTCGATTCCCCCCCCCTCCACTTAACTTCAATAAACACAAACACATGTAATAATATGAACCAAAATGCAAAAGCAATTGGCAAATGTTTTCGAGAACGCAGGTTATTTGTCATAATTTGACACAAAATATAACCTATAATTTGGCAAGAGTTTGACAAGCTTCAAAAATCTAGTCTAGTTCATACGCATCTGCCTCCGTGCATCGTTCATCATTCCGTCACTCCAATAATATTGAAATATGATTTGTCATTTTCGAAATAAACCAATAAAACTAATTAAAAGCAACAAGAGACGACGCCATGACGGATTTATATAAAATTTAATAAACCCATCCATAGTTAACTTAACAAATATTGAAAACTTTTTTATAAATGGATTGGTATGGACATTGTCGTCTGTCGAAATCTTACCTGAGGCGTAAAACAGAGTATAGCCTCTGTGAAGCCGTCTCAGATACTGGCTTTTTTCAAAGCCCCGAAACTGTATGATGAGTTATAACTCGTTATAACTCAAGAAAGGAGACACACAATAGATTTTTAAGGTCGCGCTGATTAACTCCCAAACATTCTACTTTCTACAAATATCCTCTGTTGTCCTCAAGTCCTTAACTTATATTCACAGTCCCATTTTTGTTCGGCCCCTCTACGCCACTGTCCGTGCAGCATCTCCTGTCCCTTGCCACATCGGCAACCTCTCGATTTGGCACACGAGCGCAGTAATTGGTGCAAGTCGACGAAACGTAATTGAAGGCCGGTAATTAGAAAATGACGTGGGCCGTGTAATCATCGCAAAACGCTCCGGCCCCGAATTACGGCGCCACTCGGTCTTACATTCGCCAATTTCGACTGATGGCGATGTGTTTTGTACCAGTTAAACTTATCCAACTTCTACAAGTGGTGCTCGAGTTGACGCATATTACGACAAACATTTTATATGTTCCGGAAGCTTATTTATGTTATACGAGAGAACGTACACCATGTTCAGTTTATCGAAGTTAATTTGTCCTTGTATGCATATGCATACAAAGCGCAGTTGAAACTTATTATTGTCACTTATTATACATATTAAAACTTGAATAAATTCTTAATTAAAACAATCTTTTATAAAGTCAGTTTTACTCAATAGTCAGTATGTTACATCGCCGACCTGGACATAGGAAATTCCATGTAAATTTTAAAAATGATGAATAAGTTTTCTCCATTTAATTTTATAGAAAAATGTATTTGAAACTTTTTAAAGAACTTCTTAAAATGAAGCAAATTGTTCATTTTAAATGATTTGTACGAATTCGTTCTTGAGTTATGAAAAATTCAAAAATACTAAATTAATCAAAAAAAATCAACACGGTCCTGATAGAATAACAAACATGCCACCTTCAAATTCATTGTTACCAAAAATAATTTTAAAAGAAATCATCTCTTTAATGTCATATTGACTTTATACGCGCTAAATAAAATTTGTAAATATGAAAAACACAACTAAAGAAAAACAAAATAGTTTAGTGGTATTATGGAGGAAAAAGTCTACAGGCTGTAAAGCCAAGCCCGCACTATAGACGGGTGGAGGGAAGCTTGTCGGGTAGAGGGTGAAGATTAATGGGTAGAGGGTAAATATACCTTGTACGCAGCAGTGGACGGAAAATTATTAAAACAATAACCAATCTAATCAAGTTCAGTTGCAAATTGTAGTTCCCGTGAGTGTCTTTAGTATCATGCCCCTTTCAAAATTTGCCAGAAGGCTTCTGCTCTGTGACAATTCTTATGTGAACTTTGTAAGTATGGAAAAAGATGTGGGTGCATAAGTATAACTTGCATAGACACCATGACGGAGAATTTTTACGAGTTTACAAGACAATGCGAAATTACCCTGACAATTTTTTTAATTATGCACGTATGAGTGTAAAATCGTTTGATTTTCTACTTAATAAAGTTCAAGACAAATTAGAAAGGACGTCTACAAACTTCAGAGAAGCAAATTCTACAGAACAACGCTTGTGCATTACAATTCTTCTTCCATTTTTAGACCTTTACGCCTGGCTGAAAATATCGAACACGACTGATCCTCAAGTGTCATGCTTGGCGAGTTGCTTTGTGGCTTAAGTTGGTAGGGGATTGCACTGCGGCTGGTTTGGTTAAAATCGCATGTTACGGAAACATACCTCGCGGGTTACTTGGAGGGTCGCTTGGCGCCTCGATACCCACTACCCTCCAGGTAACTTGCTTGCACTGCGGCCTCAGCTTTAAGGATTTATTTCCTGTACATTTTCCAAATGCCAGGCCAGTTATTGAAAGCTATAAATATAAGAGAAGAATTCCAACACGAAGTTATTAAAGACTGTAAATATATAAAAAGATTAATGTTGATAAGGATCGTGGAGAAAAAAATAAATGAAAATGAATTAAATATTCTGTTACAAGTAGAATATGAAGACCAGGTAGCAGAATACTTGGAGAAATAGTCGAAAAAGATCGTACCATTTCTTGGTGAATTTGAAAAAGCATAATTTTAAGTCATTTAAATATTCCGAACACCAAGAATTATTGGATGGGGGTGAATAACGTAGGGCAAATTTTATCCATTTTTTATTAATAAGTATTTAATTTTGTAAATTGTTTAGTGTTTAACAAATAAATTTTCTTTTGAAGCAGTCTGTTTACTTTTCTACGAAATATAATTGATTTTTAAAAGATTCTTTTATGTTTGCAGTGTACTTTTTGTAACTTTTCATATAGAATATAACTGGGAATATTTTTGACAGATCTCTGTAGAACAAACTATACAAGAAAATCATAATAGATTTGTCATACTGTGACACAACTTGTGATTGTTATGTTTGTTTGATCAGGACATGGGTTATAGACTGTATGATGAGTTATAACTCAAGGAAATGGGCACAATAGATCTTTTAGGTTACAGTGATTAACCCCGCCCCCTCTCACTCATTCTACATTGATCAGAACATTGATGGTTATTTTATTTTCTTTATGATCAAGACCGGCATTATTTTAAATTTTTGCCTAATTTACTTTTTTTGTAGAGATACAAAAATACTGAGAGTATGAGCGATCATAACTCAAGAATGAATTTGCATAAACCTTGAAAAATGAACAATTTGCTTCATTTTAAGGAGTTCTTTAAAAAGTTTCAAATAAATTTTTCTGTGAAATAAAATGGGGAAAACTTATTCGTCATTTTTAAAATTTAAAGGGGATTTTCTATGTCCAGGTCGGCGATGCAACACACGGTAGAATAATATGCTAAATGGGAAAGGTAACCAACCAAATATGGAATAGAATAGTAGTAGGGCTTTATTATTATAATAATAATAAAATAGTATCCCATGGTCTTGCATTTGCACATCACTAATTAGTTAACATTTGATCACGGTGAGAGTTATACATCTGAACGAAACGTTGTGTAATGTAATATAAATAACTACTACTACTACTGCCATTACTCGCTGACGAGAATTTGACACGCATCTGAAGATGGTTCTGCAAGGCGTTTTCTTTCATGGGCAGGATTTAGGCTTCAGCGATCATGTCTGGATCACATAAATACATTCCGCATATAGTCATGGAACAATCATTGGAATGGAGTTCACCTTTATACCTGATATTTGTATATTTTGAGCGTGCGTTTGATAGCCCAAAGCACCAAGCGCTTTGGCCAGCCCTCAGCAGAGCTGGTATTACTAACAAAATTGTAAGAATCAAAAAAGCGCTCTATTGTGAGGCTCAATGTGCAGTCTTGCATAAGGGTCAACCGAGTGAATCCATCAGCATTTGGAATGGAGTGAGGCAGGGTTGCGTCCTGTCGCCATTTCTTTTTAATATCCTCTTAAATGATATTCTAAAAAGAACAAGAATATGGTGGACTCCCGTTAGCATGTTAGAAGGTCTCATTTATGCAGATGACATCTGCCTCCTTTCTCACAGTAACACGGATATGGCATCAAAACTACTTGACCTAACAAAGGAAGATTGCAGGTTTTAGATCAATATTAAAAAAACTAAATCGATGAGAGTTTGTACCAACAACGTCGCTCTATAGAGGACGTAAATAGTTTTACTTACATAGGTAGTATAGACTCAACCAACGGAGGCACAGAGCAAGATATCATAAATAGAATAAACAAGGTCAGAATAGCATTTGAAATGCTCAACAATATTTGGCGATCTAGACAGTACTCTCAACTACTAAACTTAAAATTCTCAATTCGATTGTCAAGTTAGTATTGTTGTATGGTGCAGAGACCTGGAAAATTACATCGCCATTAATTAACAAATTTCAAGTTTTTCATAATCCGCTGTCTGCGAAAAATTGTATTAATATTCTGGCCAAATACTATCAGTAATGAGGATTAATGGAGCTTGACCAACCAGAGCCAGGTGTATAACGAGATCAAACTTAGAAATTGGAGGTGGATTGGTCACACTTTAAGGCGAAGCGGCAACAACATTCCTGGCAAAGCTATTGAGTGGAATCCACAAGGCAGTAAAAGAACTGGTCATCCAATACATACATGCCAAAGAACAATTAAAAAGGAGATCGAAGCAGTAAACCGATCATGGCGAGATGTCAAATCAATTGCCAACAACCGAATCCGCTAAAGAGCGTTTATTGAAGCCCTTGAGCTTCATCTCCATTGCATTCTATTGTGCGCTGCTTCCTCCCACTGATTCTATATGCTTATCCCCTTTAAGTTTTCATGGAAAATATCCTTGTATCTTTTGAGTTGTCTCCGCCCGTTCTTTTCCATATCTTCTA